CATCAGCCTTCTTCACCACACTTACTTATGCACACATTCGTCTTCAGCGCTTATGTAGGGAAGGTTTTTAAAAAATCATTGTATTGGGGACTTATACAGCTTTTATCTCAATCCATACATCCATCCATTGTGTCAAGCACATTTGTACATATGTTGCCATCAATATTTTCAAAACATTTTCTTTCTACTTGAGTCCTTGGTATCAGCTCATCCCCCCACCCCCTCCTCCTTGCTTAATTTTTATGTTCTCTTGTTCTAGTTTCATATCACCATTATCTTAGTACAGTTTCTTTACTGATTAATTATTAGAGAAATTTAAAATTATTTTAAAATCCTTCTTTTGTCCAGTTTGTTGTGTTATTGTTATAACGGTTACATGTTCTTCAAATATCTTTCTTTTGCTTTATAAACTCATTTGCTCTAGAGGTATTGGTATTCAGTTGTGCAATTTAGACATCAATGGGAATAGGATGAACCTAGACACCAGAAAATCATATTCAATCAATTCTCACCGAAAAAACAAATCCCTATGTCAGAAACTTATACTTTGCCTCCCAGAAAGAAATTACATTAAAAAGGTGGCATTTTTTAAGTTTAGATTCTCACTGCTACCCAGTCGATTGGTTCTCATAGCGACCCTATAGGACAGCATAGAACTGCTCCTGTGGGCTCCCAAGGTTGTAAATCCACTTTCCTTTTTCCTCAGAGTTTGAACTACTGACTTTGTGGTCAGCAGCCTAATGATTACTCACAATGCCACTAGGGATCCCTTGAGTTTAGATATGAATTCTTGAATTTTAAGTGGGACAGGCATTGAAGCAATTACTTAATTTAGTTCATACTACTTAGTTCAGAATTATGTTCCCCTGGTTTCTTAGAAGAAGAAGGCCTTTGAACTGCCCAGCAATCGTGAGGATAACTAGGCCGGAAGGAGAGAGTAGGTACAGCTATCCTCAGGTGATCATGGCGGTGATGTTCACTGAGGGGACTGGAGGGAGGCTAGCACAACCCTCTACTTTGTTCTCTCACTTTGGACCAGGATACCTGTAGCCTAGGATAAATCCACTTCTCACTTTCACCTACCAGTCCAAAACAACTTCTTCCTCACCATTTTTCTCCAGTTTCCCTTTAGGGTTGATCTTGGTGACAAGAGCTATTATTCATTCTAATCAGATTCTTCATCAGAATTGGAATCAAAAGTCCTTTACAAACCTCTTTCCACCACTCTCCCAGAAGCTGGGCATACTATCCAGAAGACTCTGAGGAAGGATAATAATTCCCAGAGAAAGTCCCAGGATTATCCTAGCTTTCTTGTCTCTCCAGTCAGTGCCTAATATATTAGTTGTTCACAAGGTGATAGAGCCTAACAAGATACAGGCTAGCATGATGAGCTATATTTGCCTGCATTTTAAAAGTTCCTAGCAGAATACAAACACTTTTTATCAAAAGCAAAAAACCGAACTCATTGCTATCAATTTGACTCATTGTGACCCTACGGGACAGGGTAGGACAGCCCCTGTGGGTTTCCGAGGCTATAACTCTTTATGGCAGTAGAAAGCCTCATCTGGCTCCGTTGGAGCAGCTGATAGCTTTGAACTGTTGACTTTGTGGTTAGCAGCCCACCACGCAATCCTCGACACCAGCAGGGCCCCTTCCAACTCTTTTTAAGAAAGAAAATTCTTATCCTCAGAGGCCGTACCAGCAGTTCCATGCTGGGCACTGGGGTTAAGGAATAAGAAAGCAACCTAGGAATCATTAGGTGAGGAGGATACTGTTAGTTGTTTTAGGAACATTGTATTGAAGGATATTGAAATATATAATACTTCAGTTATGTGGTATGAAAGGGTAGTCTCCTTAAGCAAAATTTCCAGAAGATTGGAGTTGACCTTTAAGCACCAACAATTTTATGTTAACCATTTTGATGGAACATTGTATAAATCATATTTCATACGATTTTGAATATATTTCTCTATGCCTTCTTCAGCAGAATATATTGAACATTATTTGACCTTTTTCTTGAAAATGTAGGGGCTTCTTGAATACTAATTTTACTTTGCTTTCACAGTGATTCCCTTAGGACTCATATCCGCTAAGGTTATTCAACAAGTATTTTTGAGCAATTATGTGCTAGACACTATTAAGTGCTGTCTCCTTTTTCCCAATCATTCTCTTTTACTTTTATCTGTGGTGGGGAAGCAAGGAACCTATATCTAGTACCCCCTGCCCCCCCACTTTCCATTTACTGGGAAACAAGGCACCCAGAGAAATTCAGGTTGTGCAAGGAGCCCAGAGGAGGGCTGGGAGCAAAGGAAGCAAGCATGGCCTTTGTCCTATTTCTCTCGGACACTCAGATCTTTGCTCTGATTCCTTCTAGGTCCTTGCCCTCTAATAATGAAAAGTTGAGGTTGCTCATTATCTTCAGAAAAATAAGTCACAGCAACAGAAACAAGGGACATTGTGTGCCTAGTGTGTGCATGAGTGCGTATGACCAAAGTTCTCCTGGTCTAGATTTTACTATCTGCCAGAATGTCTCAGTAGAACTCTAATTTTCTAGAGGATGTACTCAAAGACATGTTACTCACCTTTTACAGAATATCATTCCTTTCTTCCTTACAGCATTATCCTGGGAGAGGAAAAAAAGGCAGTGCTAAGTATCCAGTTCATTAACTTATATTTATATGATAAAAATCCATCTCATCCACATAATAAGCACATGTAATTTTCAAAGTAAGACATTTTTGATGGGCATATTATTACCTTTTTAGATTCTGATGCAAATTCCCTAAGGCATAAAAAATAGCTAGGTAAGTTGCCCATGGTGATAGCTACTGAGTGACAGGACCAGTCTAGAACCCAGGTCCTGAGAGTCCACATTTGAGGCATTGTCAACCTTACACATTGTTTTCAGCCAGTGGCCTTGAGAGAAATTTACAGGCTATGAAAAACATGCCAACATAAAACAAGTTAAAAAAATTAAAATGTACAGATGAAGATATAGCCTGGATTTTAAGGTCGTTTTTTTTTTTTGCTTTTAGTTATTTCATTTTCAGGACAATGGAAACCTTGCTCATCAAGAACATGGTCTAATTCATCTCAGAAGGTCTGGATGTGCTCAGGACAACAATCAGCTGTGTCTATTTGTTTTATGGATGAGACAGCTTCTCTCTTTTAGAATTATGTTCACCATTTTTTTTGACCACATGCAATTTCTGGTGAATGCTAACTTCCGCTCTCAACCCAACTTAAGTGACAAAACTATAGCTCAACAACTGTGTATCTCTGAGCCCTATGCAGTGCTTGCTACCTCAAGATGCCAAGGCAGGCCAAGGAGTCTGGAACTTGACCTTCAATTGCTCTATTTCCTGTGTTGGTGACACTCTGGTGTGAAATGTGCACAGACGAGGAAGCTGTATTGTAAACAAGCAGTGACTTCCTATGTTTGCATTCCTGGGTCACCTCTGACTAATCATGACAGATGCCTGGCACTCTGTGTTGTGACAGATGTGGGGCCATGCCTGGGATCCTCTGGAAAGAGTGCTATGAGGAGGAGGAATGGAAGGAGTGTGGCTCCTGCATTGGCCTCTGGTCTGCAGCGTGTCCTCTCAGTTACCATGTCTTCTTGCTTCCCCGTGGAACTCTCCAAGTCTTAGGTGAGTTTCCTTGAGGACATGCTATTTAAATGGCTGTAAAACGGGGAAAAAAATTGTTCCTAAATGTTCTTTGTGTTTGTTTGAGGTTGGACTGCACTGGAATGATAGCTCGTACTGTTCTTGGAAAATGCACAAGAACAGGATGAGTATACGGTCGGTGGGTCCTAGCGCTTTGGCATCCCGCAGAGAGGAGCTGAAGACGCAGGGGAATACTTGCCTCGGCATTTTGATGGTTACACTCCTTTCCTGCAGGGTTCATGCTCAAGGCTTTTGATCTAGAGGCAGAAGTACCCAAAGAGGGACTGAATACAATATATTCAAATATTACTATCTATATGATGGCTATTTTTAGAATAGCTTTATCTTCTACAGCTGTGTTCTGATAACCCCTGGCTCCATGTAGCTATTGAAAGTTAAAGGAATCAAAATGAACAACCCAGTTTCTCCATCACCCTAAACCCAGACCAACCAGTTGACTGTCAAGGTGCCTGTGATTCACGGGGCTGGCATGAGGAGACCTGCGCTCCATAAGGTTATTCTCATGCCTGTCACTTCCACGAGCAAATCGCCATGCCTTTCTTTTGAGGTGCCTCTGGGTGGGTTCGAACTGCGGACATTTCAGTTGGTAGCCAAATACTTAAGTGTTTGTCCACTGGGGACTCCATACTGGTCGTATTAACCATCTTTGAATTGTCATAGGTGCATAGGGGCCACTGTGTGCACCACATAGAGCGTTCTGTTGGAAAACCCTGTTCTAGAATATTAGCTTAACAGTCACATCCTATGTGCATGCTCAGCCAGAATCCCAGATGACTTGGAATTGACCTTCAGGAACGAGGCCCTCCACAACCAGGTTCCTTTTCTCTGTGCGCTCTTGTGACACTTCATGGACGTTAAGGCTAATGGAAGCTTTGCTTTCTGGCTCTGGGTCTAAAGAGTCAAGGTATTTAGTAGACAAATTTCTTTTTGTCTCAGTCTTAGAAGGCCAAGAAAGGTAAGTGAGGTTTCTGGCTTTTGTTCCTCATCAGTTAGCCTCATTTTTCTTAGCTTTTCTTTTTCCCCTTTATCATTTCTAATTATTATTGTTTGCCGTTTAAAATAGTGCACAGTTCTGAGTTTTAGAATATGGTAGCGAGAGATCAGTTTTTTGCCTGCCTCCGATGGCTGGGGTTCTGTGTATCTGGGGCGTGGGGAGTGAGGAAGACAATGCGAGCGTTACGGACCTTACTGCCAGAGATTAAGAATGTCCCACTTAGGAAGGTGGGTAAACACCAGCTTTTTAAAAAAGCACATATTTATATGCTCTTCATCTAAAACCAAGCGATTGCTAATAGGGTAAACTTATGCGGGAGGTGTGTTTCTCCTGTCTGTTGAGCAACGGAGAAGGGCCAGCACGACAAAGTTGGTCTACTGTAGTTGGGGTTGACCAGGTCGCTCAGACAGGGAAGCTGACATGTGGCATCGGGGCTCATTGATTTCCAGTGAGGAGCTAGTCGGAGACTTGTATTCTCTGACTCGGGCTGAGACGGAGTTATCACTAGAACCATGATGTTCCTTTGTTTGCCAAAGCTCACACTTCTCTCTCAAGGAATCGAGTCTCCAGTTCTTCTTGTATTTTCCTCAAAGTTTCCTGGTACTTCTTCAAAGAGAAACAAAGGAAAGCAGAGTCACTAACCAGAAGCTTCATGCGTTTGTAATCACAATGATTACTTAGTATTACATGTTAATTTGAACATTTGGTATTCTTGCTGCCCCTTTCTCTCCTTTCACCATCTCCCACTAAGCTTCACCACTGGGTAGGTTCCTGGGGGGCAATCAGGATTCTAAACAGGAACATAACTCATTATGAACGTGAGAGCACAGAGGCTGGGAGTCCCCCCAGAGCAGTAGTTGTAAAGGTGCCAAAGAGCAAGCAAGGGAGCCCGAGGGCCAGATATTATTACAGATTGAATTGTGTTTACCTCCCGGACCTCAACTGCTCATTGCTGGCACCTGTGAGCATTTGAAAACAGAATCTTTGACAATAGCATCTTTGAAGTTAGGCTAACACAGATCAGTGGTTCTTAACCTTCCTCATGCCACGACCTTTTCATGCAGTTCCTCATGTTGTGTGGACCCGTCCCCAACCGTAAAATTATTTTCATTGCTACTTCATCACTATCATTTTGCTATCATTATGAATCTGATATGCAGGATGTAATTTCATTGTTACAAATTGAACCGAATTAAACATAATTAAAGCATGGTGATTAATCACAAAATAATATGTAATTATATATTGTGAAACATTTATGTGTTTTCCAGTGGTCTTAGGCGACCCCAGTGAAAGGGTCGATCGATCCCCAAAGGGGTCTCGACCCACAGGTTGAGAACGGCTGACATAGAGCCATGGTGGCTTAATAGAGTTTCGCCCTGACAGCCCTTAGAAGGAATCAATTTGGCAGAGATCCTGATCTTGTCCTCCAGAACTATGAGACAATACATTTGTTCTTACAAGTCTCCTACTCTGCCCTGGTTTGTGACAGAGTCAAACCTCAGAAAACTGGAACCTTTACAAGGTAGAGACCTCTCAGAGAAGAACTCAAATGTTCTCTGCTGAAACAATTGTCTGCTAAAACCAGTCACAGTAACGTGGTAAGACTGCCCCTGTCAAAGGCAGACACCTTGAGAAACTCAGAAAGACCAGGCCGTCACATGGGGCTCCCACGAGTTTCACCGTATTTTGATCTGGGAACTCCAACAGGTGTTTATGACATTAAGCCTCCTTCATGGGACACCTTTGAGAGTTAAAATTACTCCATGGCCTTGGTGTACCTTATCGAACCACTTGTTATTCCTTTACTGAGTTGTATACCTTTATGCAGAGGGCCTGGTCTTCACAGAGCTGGACCACAAACGTGTAGTGTCCCATTATCTGGGAAGACAGAATTTGATCTTAAGTTTCTCTTTTCTTGGACCCTTGACAGCGGGTTGAAAATAAATTTAAACCATTTTGCTGTATATATGAACTTATTTTCTTTACTGTGGGAAAAAATCCCCCCAAACCATATAGTTTTTACAGTCCTAATGCGACTTATTTGGGGGCAATCAGGAGAGGAGGAACAGGAACACATATGTAGAAGAGTTCAGGTATAGAATGGACTCTTAAAGAGGAAGTCACTTTCCTTTTTCCATGCCTCCCCGACCTCATAGTGTTCAGGAACTGGCCTCTATTCTAACTCAATCATTCTAGGAAAGTATTACATCGACTGATCAAGGCTTTTTTTTTCTTTTCAATCTGAGTAACAATTGAAGAAGTTAGTTTTACCTTGGTCAGCTCCATCTCTTGTTCTGTGCAGGACATTTCCAGCTGTTGCAACCTATACTATAGAAAGGAAGAGAGACAAGTTGCTCAGACTCTCTCAAAGACCAGCATCAGGGCCCCCAATACAAATGTGTGCAAGGTGGAGGATTCAAACCACCTAGCTTCTTTGCAGCAGGTTGGAGAGCCTGCTCTCCTACATCCAGATTCAAT